ACCCAGAACCACACATTCAAGCCTGTTTCAGTTTTTTTTTTTTTCATTTAAGGGCTTGTCCATCTAACAAGTTGAACAGGTCAACTTTAAATTGGTTAAAATCTTATGTAGTTAACTGGTGCAAAACGCAGTGTGGACACTCATATTTCTTTATGATCCAATTCTAAACAGATATGTGTTGATTTAACTGAAGTCAGTTCCTTACTCATGTAATCTATGTTTACGTGCATAGACCTTTCTTTGAACAAAAATAAGGGTGCCCACAGAGTGTTTTGCAAAGATTTAAATTAATTGGTTTTCAGTCATACCAATCACAGAGTCACACAGTTGGAAGGGACCTCAGGAGGTCATCTAGTCCAACCCCTTGCTCAAAGCAGGACTAATAAGCAATTTTTGCGTCTGATCCCTAAATGGCCCCCTCAAGGATTGAACTCAAAATCCTGGGTCTAGCAGGCCAATGCTCAAACCACTGAGCTATCTCTCCCCTCCACTGCAATTTGTAACAGAGACAAGCACTTTGAGTTTATTTTCACCTCAGGATTAATGTAAACATTGTGTGTGGGTGTTTATATCAAACATCACAAAGTTTTCATGGGACCACAGGGAGCTCTGAGAGATTCCCCAGAACAAAGCCAGATTGAGAACAAAAGACATCAGGGCACACTGTTTTAAGGTCTGAAAGGTGGTACTGCTCCCAGTGTAAATCAAGAGTCTCTCCACTAAAGTGAGTCTAGCGATACTAGTGTAAAATTGTCGTAAGGGAAATCAGAATCAGACCTGTGACGTTCCATAAAGGTTAGAACAAATTGACAATATTTCAGTCTGTCACATCCCACAAATGGCCGATCCAAATCCATCCCAGACTTCCCACAATGATACCCTGGAATTAGGCCACATATCAGCAGTTTCCGACAGATTGGTTTCCCTTTGCGCTATTTAGAGGTGTGGAGGGGAGGTCTGAATTAGAAAGCTAATGACATCCTTAACAAAGCAGAGACAGTAATATTTCCGCGATTGTTTACATTGCATTGTCTCTAAAATCCAGCAGGCTGCGCTATGAAACAGCAGGTTCCTACTTGAAGGCTGATGCTCCACAAAGAGGTGAATCTTTCTCTTTTCAGTCTTATCAATCTTCCTGAAATCAGGCCTCAGACAATAAAACATCTGAGGCCCCGTGTGTATGCTGAAAGGTCTGATACCATTGTTAAATATCTGCCAGTGCAACCTGACGGATACGACCACAGCTGGAAGCTCTTGCACAAGATAAGGGGACCTGGGGGTGTGAAGGCTGGAGTGGAGGGAAGGAGACGGAGGATCTGGCATAGACTAGAGATTAGGGTGCTATGGAGGACAGGTGGGGATTACACAGGGGCTCTTGAGGCAGGGATGAGCCCCGAGTGGAAGGAGGCAGTACAAAGATGCTCTATGGATAATGCTTTCCCCAGATCTGTACAGCTGTCAATGCAAAACTGAAGGAGAGAGATGTATTGTGGAGGTACAGATAGAGGAGCTAATGGCAGCATGAAATGGGGCAGTCTGGGCAGCCCTACAGAGGTGCTTGCACTCTGTTTACCAAGCCAAGGTCAGAGAGAAGCTGTCACCTGGGAGTTTAAAACAAGCCTGGAGTGGCCAGTATTAATTTTTAGAATCCTTGCGGGCCCCCACCTCCTGCACTCGGAGTGCCAGAGTGGGAAATCGGCCTTGACAAGTATGGATGTGAAAATAAAACTGTCAAACAGTAATGTCGCCTTCTGCTTAATGGGTGATGAAACCAAAGGTTATAAACTGCGGATTATATCAGTAACTCATTTTTAAAAGAAAGTACAGGTGGCCCTGGCACTGTCTGTATCATGTGGACCACACAACCAGCTGGGTGAACACTGCCTCACCTCGTAGCTGGGGGAGAGTTACCACAGAGAGTTATTTGTGTCATACGGACACTGCCCAAACAGCTCGTTGTTTCCTAGAAGCAGCATGAATTTTTTTAAATGAAAATGCTGCGGACATTATGTTCCATGCTTGACAATTACAAAAGCCCCATACTCCTACCTGTAGCTATCACTGTGTGTTTTCCTTCCATCATAGTAACAATGCTGTTGACCAGATTTTAAAACTGTATTCTAATGACTTAGTGCAAGATGACCGGATGGTGATGAAAGCGCCAAATGTATAAATTGCTATAAAATTCCCTGTGGGATTAATTTGGCTGAAGAACAAACCTACCGAATACCAGCATCATGGGGGATCCTGACAAACTCTTTCAATACCTATTTTCCCCCAATTAGAAAATTTCATCCTGCAACTTGACTGTCGAGTGGAGGTAACAACATTTAGTAGAAGAACACATGAAAGCCCAAACGCATCCCGTAGTTCTTCTGGATGGGTCAGTCCACCCAAAAGATTTCCCTCATATCTCAAACCTGTTCGTGGGGTGGTCCTATGGTGTTACCGGAAGGTTTGGATCTAATTATATCAAGCCAATTATATTACCTAAAAATAAAGCTTTTAATTTTAAACCTTAATTTAGAATTTATTTGAACCCGTAACAAAGATTATGATCCGCCCACTAGGAATTTCCAAGATATTACCAGGGTGCTTGTCTCTGATATACAGAGGGCTCCCCAGAGCACGTTAGCCTTGCTGTTCCTTGAAAGGCCATGGATACAGCCCTGTGATCAAGAATAGGCACACAAGCAGTAATTCTTCGAAAACAGAAATAATATTTATTAAGGGATGAGTGGGACGAGTTTTTAAAGGGGGTCACATGCCACCTCTTACTTCATGTTACATGTCACTCTTTGCCCCAGGACTTGCCCTAATTGGTCAAACTCCTCTTGGGGCAGGGCTATGGGTCACCCAACAGGCCAGAGATAGGCACAGAATTGAGGTCTCCTATGTCCCAGTCCTCTGCTCTAGCCTGGCTGCACAGTCTTCCCTGTTCATACATTAACCCCTTTTCTCACACAATGCCTTTTCCCAATAAAGACAAGTCCCTCTAGGGCTGATCCCTGAAACGTTCACCGTAAGGGCTGTGAGGAAGACATGGGCGCAGGGCAGGAGGAAAGAGCACCTAGAGAAGGAGCTGGTTTGTGGAGAAAAGCTGGGAGTAACTTCAGGGGCACCATTTCAGATCTTGGTGTGCTGAACATTAATCATGATTCCTGGGGCTACTTAGGTACCTGAAAACTCTAGATTTTGCATATAAGGTGGTGGGTCAACTCAAATAGTTTGAAAACTGCTGAGGGTGCAGGCAGGGGGTATCTAGCGGCTGTGTGCAGGCATGGAGGTACTCAGGTGCTAGGAGGGGGTGAACTTGAGAGGCCAGGCAGGAGGTAGCTAGGGGCTGTGTTCCTGGAGGGAGGTAGCTCAGGGTGCAGGCAGGGGGTAACTAGGGCCTGTATACAGGCAGAGGCATAGTTTCCAGGGTGCGGGTAGGGGATAGCTATGGACTGTGTGCAGAGAGGGCGTAGTTCCAGAGGCAGGGAGGGATATAGCTCTGGGTGCAGTGAGGGGGTAGCTAGGGAATGTTTGCTGGGAGGGTGTAGCTTAGGGTGCAGGCAGGGGATACGTAGGGGGGGAGAGGGGTGTATCTCAGGGTGCAGGGAGGGGCTGTGTCCAAGAGGGTGCTGCTGCTGAGGGGCCAGCCATATGCTCAGTCCCTAGTTGGCACAGTGGGGGAAGCTCTGCGGGTCAGTGGCTAGGGTGAGGGGCGTGCGCTGGCCACCCATTTCCGCAATGGGCGGGGGGAAGGGAACACCCTTTCAGCAGGTGAGGAGCGATGCCAGTGGTGGCCCCATGGTGGGGGGCAGGGAAGCATGGCTCCAAACAACAGCGGAGCAGGGCAGCGGGGCTGGGGGCAGGAAGGGCAGCATCTTCCCTTCCGCTGCACACTTCACCCAAATCTGGTACGAAGCTGGGAGCGGGGGAGGCCTTCCCTAAATGGTGCCCCCGGGGTAACAACACTTTGTTGCTGCACAGAAATGGCAAAGCAGCTGGGAGCTCCATTGTTTCTCCCTCTCCATGGGAGGACCCCATGTGGCTGCCTCAGTTAAACCCTCACTTGAAAGTTTAGTCAGGTTTCTAATCCTGGGTCTTTGGGGTTTGCGCTGCCGTTCTGGCTCCCGCAGGGGAGCCTGCTGCACAGGGCACGGTCTGGAAGCTCAGACACAAGAGAAGGGGACCTGGTGATCAGGACCGGCTCTAGGCACCGGCAAAGCAAGCACGTGCTTGGGGCGACACGTTTCCAGGGGCAGCCTTCCGGCCACCCTTTTTTTTGGGGGGGTGGGAGGACAGTTGCGCTCTGGGAGCAAGACGGGGCAAGGGCGGGGCCTTAGACGGGGCAAGGGCGCCGTGCCCCCGGCCGCAGCGGGAAGGTAAAGCCCCGGCCCCGGGATGCTGAAGTGCCAGGGCCCAATCAATCCCTGGGGAGGAGAGGGCGAGTCCTGCCAGGGAGCGGGGGCTGCGCTGCTTTGTGCCACCCCTTATCTCGGAGCGTCTCTGTGCGGCCGGGGGGGGGGACGGGACGACACACGCCCCTGCAGGCGCTGGGAGACGGTGACATCACTCCCTCCGCTTCCCGCGCCGTCTGTGAGCCCCAGCCCCACCTGAGCTTGGGGCGGCAAAAAACCTAGAGCCGGCCCTGCTCACAGGTTTGGGAGGCGAGAGGAGCAGAGGGAGGGTCGACATGCCGTGGAGCACTGCTGTGGGCGTTGCACACTGTACAGCCAAGCTGGGACGGAACCCAGCTCCTCGGACAACCCCACCAACCAAACGGCTTTGTCAAAGGACCAAGGGAAGGGAAAAGATTTATCCAGGGGAGGTCCCTGAAATGGATAAATATGTATGTCGCCTGGTCTAGGAACACCCCTGGGTGGACTTAACATATGGCAGGGACCATTTATTTTATTTATATTTCATTAAAATAAAAGAGGGAAGGGATATTTGTGGGAAAGACATACCAAAACAGCCCCCGTGTGCCAAACAAAACGCTCACAGGCCTGTTTGCAATGCATCACAGCAACTAGCTACTTTTATTAAAGAGAGAAGAACAAGCTCTTAGGGGTGACACAAGGGCTCCCTTGTGGGTTTTTTCCAGCTTGTGAGATTCTTTGCAGCCCAGATGAAAAGCATCCAAGGATTTTAGAAGCAAGGCGCCGCCTGCCAGATTCTCAGCGATCCTGCATTGACAATTTCTGCTGCCATCGCTCACTCACTGCAAAAAGGGAAGAAACTCTCACATTCTATGTTTATAACCATTAAAACAAGGACAATATAACATTCCATTTCAAATGCAAGGTAGAGCAGGAATTTCCCCATCATTGAATAGTGTGTGTATATGAAACACTAACAGACCTTGGTCGCTGTCTGGCAGGACTGAACCTGGGGTCTCTGGAGCTTAGTGCATGAGCCTCTTACCGCATGAGCTAAAAGCCAAGTGCCCCTTAGCTAAGGCTGCGGAGCAGACTCAATCTATCTATTATATCTAAACGTGTACTGGCTGTCCACTTGGCTTCTGAAGTCAATATGCCGGACTTCTGAATATGGATCTCCCTTCCCTTTGCCCCAACTCTCCAGTAAAGGAGGCAGATTCTCATTTTCTTACAAAAGTCCTTCCTATTAACAGTCTACACAGTTAAAGTGACAACCACAAACAATTAAGTCGCTGGGTGATGAAAATAAGAACCCCGGCAAAATAAATATAAAAACGGCTGGAAATATCCTGTACAATATCATCGAAATGTTCATCAAACTTCTTAAAAAAGTTGAAATTTGAAATTCCATTGAGGGAAATTAATCAAAATTGTGAATTTTAAAAATATCGATGATCTCTATGATAGATAGAAAAATAAAACCAAAATCATGTAAGACATAGAACACCGCGACTCATGTCCATGTTCAGTTTTCCTCTCAAACATACTATTGTCCATAGCTAAAACTAAAAGCATAAATATTTAATTAGAGGATAAATAAGTTATTCTTAAAGAATGCATGGACTATTCTGTCTGCCAGCTCATGTAAGCCTGAAGCCTGACCCTGTTCGCATGGCAGTTCCCTACCTGATGATGATCTCTGTAGGTGCTCAGTGAAGCAGCCAGGTGAGTAGCAGCGCAGGTGCTACCATGGAGCTCCTATCTTCACATCTCCTACCCCAAACGGCCTCTCTGGTACTTTATGCACACTTCAGACAGCACTGGGTTGATGGGAGCATTCTCCCATTGATGCACCTCCGGGGGAGGGGCCGTGCCTACACAGATGGGAGAACCCCTCCCCTCGCTGCAGGTAACGTCTCCACTGCAGCGCTTTGGCTCAGCTGCAGCGGTGTTGCTGGGTCACTGTAGCAGTTTAGATGTAGAGAACAAGCCCACGCTGCCTGGGAAAGCCTCTCACCCCTCCCCACTTCCTCTCTGAGTCCTGTCCCTGCTGCGACACTAATGTGAGCATGCTGGACACCTTGTACAGGTTATGGGGAGATCCAGCAGGTAACAAGAAGAACACGAATAGAATTGGCTACAGAGAAGCAATGAGACCAAGTTAACTTAACTGGAGGAAACATGATGTTTAAACCAGTAAAAGGAAATTCGGAGCAACGCGAGCACTGAAGTCACCAAGGTTTGTAATTGCTCTAGAATTCTAAAAGGAGAAATGCAAAGGCTCCAAGTATGTGCTGAGCTACCTTAAAGACTGAACGTAGCATCAGTCCTTAAAGTGCACTAGTGCTTATTGAATTGTATTGCAGAGTGAGCACATCTGATAATATACGTGTGTGACCCACTGGTCAGTGTGTGTTACAGATTCCCCTAGGTGGAGGCTGTGAGTCTGTTACAGGCTCCATCTAGAGACTGGCTCTTTTGTTCAAGCTGAAGATACTTGCGCCTTTAGCTCTGGAGGTCTCTGGTTCAAACCACAGAGTCCTGGTCCCAGAAGGCATGGCAGCCTTCACACGTGTGCTCAAAATCGCCTCTGTCCCACAAAAACACACAGGGGCAACATTATGCTCAACATGGCTCCTCATGTTTGCAGCATCTGGACTCAGATGTTCTTTAACACAGCTCCAAGAATACCGCAAAGCACCTGGTTATCTGAAATCCTCACATGTTCATCACTGTGTTCATTTCCAGTTTTTCACACTGTGTCATTCTGGAGGGACTCTGCAGGGAGGTCCATGCCACAAATTGAGTTTAATTGTTCTTCCATTTTTGAGTGGAATGATTTGAAAATACCTTTTTTTCTATGGGAAAATCATGGTTATATCCATACTGTGTGAGTGCAGCTTACCTTCTCATCATCAGACTTGGCCAGTGCCTCCATTTTTCCTTTTGGGTCAGTGGTTTAGTTCCCCTGATGAACCAAAACCTCCCCCATCTGGGGCAAAATAACATTAAAAAGAAAAACACAAATACTCTCTGGGATAGAGATGCTTCCTCAGGGGCTGAGTAACCATTTCTTCCCCTCAGATGCTTTCACGTAGGGCTCCCAAATTCTCCTCTGCTCAGTTATTCTCTAAGCTCCTCTCAGTTTGTTTTTACAGGCTTCATTTTAAAGCCGTTTCTTTTTGTCAGATCAGCCTCCCTGCTCTCTTTCTGTTCCTCACACATTCTTGTCAACTGCTGGAAATGGCCCACCTTGATTATCACTACAAAAGGTTTTTTTTCTCTCCTGCTGGTAATTTTTTCTCTCCAGCTCACCTTACCTGATCACTCTTGTTACAGTGTGTATGGTAACACCCATTGTTCATGTACTCTGTGTATATAAAATCTTCCCACTGTATTTTCCACTGCATGCATCCGATGAAGTGAGCTGTAGCTCACGAAAGTTTATGCTCAAATAAATTTGTTAGTCTTTAAGGTGCCACTTTTTCTTCTTGCCAGAGAGACTCATAACTGGTCCTACCAACTCCCTTCAGTCTGAGGAGTGCAGGCCTTTCAAATTCAGAAATGATATCCAGAAAGGAGACCTTTCCAGAAAAGGACAAGTATGTGAGAAGAAGGGGTTATAATGGAATCAGATTGGCAGCTGTCATTATGGTGAGTGCTCCCAGGAAAATACCATTCTTGACTGTGTCCTTGGGTAGATATTGAAAATAGGATCCTTCCGTCAGTGACTGGAAGAGTGACATAACATTTTTGAAAGGCTTAAAAGTCTAAGCGTCAGTCAGAAACCGTGTTGCTAGTTATTCTAATTTTTCTGTGATAGATTTGATCATTTTATACTGGGATACGACCCCCCCCCCCAAACATAGCTCCACACTTGTACACGTTTCTTTTTTGTAAATTAAGCATTAATGTTCGAAAGAGCAGCCATTTTGATCTCATAGGTGCTGCACAATGATACATCCCCCATACTCTCTCCTGGGAAATATACTTTAGTCCTTCCCCATTGTCTTCCGTATTCTTAAATGAAACACCAATGTAGACGTTCACCACAGACTGGCCACAGACCCTGTCTGTGTGATGCCATGTTGGCAAGCCAGAGGGGCTTCAAAACAGGTTGGGGAGAGAAACTGCAATACAGGAGCAATACCTGGCTCATAGAATTGCCCCTATTCTGCCCTCCTTGCAAGCACTATCCTGGGGAGGTGCTGGGTGTTACTGGGTCTCACAGGGGCAAGCTCTGTAGCACTGAGCACGATGGAGACTCTGGGCTGCTCTGGGTTGTGGACAGACCATAGGCAGCCTGAGTAAAGCAGCTATAAGATTCCTCTAACTCTAACATTTAAACCTCAGATAGTCCAGTATCCGGACAGCACAAAAGATTTCTTTGTCCCATGTCCCAGGGTTGTGCCGTGTGCTCTGAGCCTGCAAGGTCATTAAACAGCAGCTATAGAAAGGAGAGACACACATATTCTGTTTAGACAGTAATGTCTCCCTTGTGGCATCCTGAACTTACCGCTCTCCTTTTACAGCAATTCTGCCCAGAACCGCAGCTTCCAATCAGTCTGTATTTGCCATAACATATACGGCGGCAGGAGCCTCGAGCACGTTTACAAAGAGCGGGGCTATTGATAAACTGAGTGAATCCTGCACAGAGAAGAAGAGTCTTGATTTTCATTCACACATAAGTGTAAACAGGAGCTGTGACTGCAGCATGACAGGCATTTCCCATTAGCTGAATTTCCAGTTCACTGAGACAAGGCCACGTCAGCCCAGAGATCTTCCTGTGCCCCCTTGCACGCAATCTTTGATAAGATATAAATGTCTGTAGTTCTGTGCCCGTTCAAAGGCTGCCACTAAGAATTGAGCAGAGTGAATTAATTCAGCAGATCTGCTGGCCTTCTGGCTGCAGGCTTTAGAACTGTAGCACAGAGCATGGGAGTCCTTCACAGCCCCACAGCTGTACAGGATGGAAAGCAGGTAGCTGCCTGCATCACCAACTTCTAATAGTGGGGCAGTGGTTTTGCTGCAATGGTTTGGACTCTTTCTGATTCCAAACACTGATGTACTAAGCAGTATCTACATACTGATTGGCTGAGCAGGGTTGAACCAGCTCAGCACTGGATTGGGTGGCTGGAACTTTTAGAAAGAGAAGGGTTTAAACCAGTCCCTTGCAGTCTGAATGCCTGATTGTCTGTGAGACTCAGCACAGATATTCTTGTGAAGATTCAGCACTTGGGAATACTTACTCAATGACCAATTGCCAAGTTAGACATTCCAGACAGGCTGGTCCTTATGAGAATGTGGTCCATATGTCTTTTAGAATATTAATATTAGACTATTTTAAACTAGATTTTAGCTGTGCTTTCCTTAAAGTATCCACCGTGACATTCCCCAGGGTACAATCTGGACCACCGAGCAGCCGTATTCCCTCAGTTCTCCAACCTGTGATGCCTCCTACACTGTTCTGCTGTGACAGCAACCACTTCTGGTCCTGCTCATGCACAGCCCCTAGCATGTAAAGTCACTCCCATCAGAATTATAGGAAAACTTCCAGCAAGACTCTCCTGAATTATCGTGCAGAGCGACACCAGCAAACTCCCAGTCCCAGCCTCGTCCCCCAGAAATATGCATCTCGTACTGTTCAGTACCATCCTGGACAACACAAGCTCCTAGAAAGTCTGTCATTTCATCAAAGGCAAAGGATATGCACAGAGCCTGTTATCTCAAGTGAAGGTTGCCAAACACTTCAATCCAAAGATTTGAATCCCCTTGACCAAAGGGTATTTTCATTGAGTTAGGCCAGAGGACGAGGACACAAGCTGAACATTTCCAGTCTTTTTAATCTCTACTCATATGGAAGCTGTTCCATACCCCAAATCATTTTAGTTGCCGTTCTCTGTAACTTTTCCAATACTAATTTATCTTGTTTGAGTTGGGGTGACCAGATCTGCCACAGTATTCAAGATCTGGGAATACCATGGATTTATATAGAGGCATCATGATATTTTCTGTCTTATTATTTACCCCTTTCCTCATGGTTCCTAGCATTCCGTTAACTTTTTTGAGTGCCGCTGTGCGCTGAGCAGATGTTTTCCAAGAACTATCCACAATGACTCCAAGAACTCTTTCTTGAGTGGTAACAGCTAATTTAGACCCATCTTTTTATATGTATAGTTGGGATTATGTTTTCCAAAGTGCATTACTTTGCATTTATCAACATTGAATTTCATCTGCCATTTTGTTGCCCAGTCACCCTGTTTTTTGAGATTTCTTTGTAACTCTTCGCACTCTGCTTTGGACTTCACTATCTTTGAGTAATTTTGTATCATCTACAAAATTTGCACCCTCACTCTTTACCCCTTTTTCCTGATCACTTATGAATATTTTGAACAGTACTGGTCCCATTACAGACCCCTGGGGGACACCACTACTTACCTGTTTCCATTCTGAAAACTGACCATTTATTCCTCCCTTTGTTCCCTATCTTTTAGCTGGTTACTGATCCGTGAGAGGATGTTCCCTCTTATCCCATGAATGCTTATTTTGCTTCAAAGCCTTTGGTGAGAGACCTTGTCAAAGTCTTTCTGAAAGTCTAATTACACTATATCCACTGGATCACCCTTGTCCACATGTTTGTTAAACCCCTCAAAGAATTCTAGGAGATCGGTGAGGCATGATTTCCCGTTGCAAAACCATGTTGACTCCTCCTCATACTGAAGTACTTTTGTGATCATCTAGTCTGAAGGGACTTCCCCAAAATATTTCTTAGTGGGTATCTTTTAGAACCCCCCCCCCCAAATATTTCTTGATTTAAAAACTGTCAGGGATGAAGAATATATTGGTAAATTGTTCCAATGGTTAATTACTTTCACTGTTAACAATTTATATCTCGTTTCCGGTCTGAATTTGTAATCAAGTCACCCCTTAACCTTCTCTTTGTTAAGCTAAAGAAATTGAATTTTCTGAGTCTATCACTATAAGGCACGTTTTCTAATCCTTTAATCATTCCTGTGGTTCTTCTCCGAACCCTCTCCAGCTGATCAACGTTCTTCCTGAAGTGTGGACACCAGATCTGGACACAGTATTCAAGAAATGATCACATCTGGAGGTGTGAAATACAGAGGTAAAATAATCTCTCTACTCTTACTCAGGATTTCCCTCTTTCTGCATACGAGTTATGTATTAACCCTTTTAGCAATTTTCCGCTGATTATCCATCCACAACCCCCAAAACTTTTTTCAGAGTCACTGCTTTCCAAGATGGAGTCCCTCATCCTATAACTGTGGCCATCCTTCTTTGTTCCTAGATCCATACATTTAGATTTAGCTGTATGATTGTTAACTTGTTCCCCGCTTACCAAGTGATCCAAATCCCTCTGTATGAGTGACCTGTCCTTTAATTCTTCTCAACTGCTAACTTTATAAGTGTTTTTTATGGGGTTTTTTTTCAGGTCCTTTATAAAAAGATTGACTCATGTGGGGGCAAGAACCAATCCTTGTAGGACTCCACTAGGTAGAATGTTGGTGATAGTATGACAGGTCATAGTTCAGCCAAATCTGACCGGATCTTAATAGGAACATTAAAGGCACCTTTTTCACTCCAGGACTATTCTCCTGTTAAATGTCAAGCATCTGCTGAAAACCATACAACTCTTTCAAAAAAAAAAAAGCTGGAAAAATTATGATAAAAATGTTTAGAAATCTTAGTACAGACTCACAAATGACCTTCTATATTCTCCCTTCATCTCATTAAGATCTTACCTGGAGAGCTTTGCAGCACCAGGAAAAAGACAGCAAAGAGGAGGTAGACAATCTTCATGGCTAAAGTTTGCCTGGGAACTCAATGTTGCTGGAGAGAAAAGACTGCAAAATAGACAGGAGATGGAGAGTCTCTATTTATGGGCTACCAGGGATTGTGAAATGCTGATCTTTTGAAATCTTTTTTGAAGCATATCACATTTACGAAGTTTGTGCTGCAATCTGTTTATAATTATCATCATAATTATAATTTGAGCATCATAAACATTCCCATAGAATTTCAGGGAAACACTGTAGCCAAGTTTCTGCCTTGAGGAAGTTACAATATGAATCTTCACAACTAGCAAACATCTGCTGCCTGATCAAAATCTCTCTGAAAAAATGGAAAGCCTCCCATTAAATTGAAATGAGAGTCCTTTTGCAGAGAAGAATTTCAGAATACAGCTGTACCTTGGAAGCACTGGCAGCAGGGCATGTGCATTTGTATATTTGTTTTGTACAATATTTAATCAATATTTTACTTGTATTTAAGGAAATTTCCTAATTTCATGCATCAAAACCCATTCCAAAAAGGTTAAAAATCCTTTTAAAGAGAGATTTATGATAAATAAACTGAATTACATTATAAATACTGTGTGCCAGGAATCCATGGGTTTTTTTCTGTATATCTAAATTGCAGAATTTTACAGTTAGTGATGGGAGAAAACCATGAGTTTTCCCTTTCTTTTCCCCTCATAACAATAACTATCTAAAGTAGAGACATAAAATGTTGATGCATCAAACATGGGGAAACCAGTGGCATTTGCAGGTGCCAAGCACCTCTCAGGATTTGTCTCATTCTTTCAGGACAGAGAGAAGAAGTGACTGGGCTTAAACTGCAGCCAGGGAAATGTAAGAACATTTCTAAGGGTTCTATAGAGCTGTACAACACCTCCAAGTTCCCTGGGGGATTCAATCTAACCAGGATTCAGAGCCTACAAAATACAACCCCCTGCAAAGCTTCACAGACCCCTTCTGATTCACCTTCTTCCTCTTTCCCCCAATTTCCCCCCATTTGGAAGCACCTAATAGAAAAGTTGAGGGGAGTGAATGAGGAATGAGAATCCATGGGGAGGAGGACATCCACAGGGCAATGAGGAGCTGTGACAGGGCAGTGAGGTGTCCCTCTCATCTCCCAATCAGTGCCCTCTATTTCAACTGGCTCTGTGTTGTTGGAAGGTGCTGGTCTTCTCACCTGCCACTTTCTCCACAGAGAAAGGTCAAGGGGCACTGGATGTTTCTCTGCCAAGGGGGGACACAAGGAGTGGGCATGTCACCCTGACTGCCACCTCACACTTATTAATTTCCCTGCAATGTTCTTGCCCTATGCACAGAGAAGTTAGATAAAAACAGGTAGAGCCACAATTGATAATTGCTTTATTTTCTCCTCTGTGATTTATAAATATACTGTGGTTAAGGGTACAAACTCTATGCTACAATTAGAGTTTTATAGATGGTATTTGATTCTGTTGATCTAGACAATCTTTGGGCAAAATTAAGAAGGATGGGTATTGATCTAAGACTTCTGAGCATTTTGGAGGCTCTCCACCAGAGCGATGTGGGTCGGGTAAAGGCAAGGGAGAATGTTTTCCCAGTGGCCTGGGGAGAACACCAGGGATGCCTTCTAGCACCTCTTGTTATTAATGTATATATTCATGATGCGGTGGATGTTTAAAGGAAAATAAATTTTCTCCACCACACCTTAAAGGTAGCCTTATCTCGGTGATACTATATGCTGATGGCATGGTTGTTTTATTGCAAACTCCAAGAGGCCTCTTCTGAAATGACTTTTTCCTCTTATTTTAACTCTCAAGACCTGGTTCTCATTTATAATGAGACCAAGTCATGATTTCTGGAAAGAACCCCCCGCAAGTTGAGTGGAAGAGAGAAGGCCACCCTGTAGAACAAATCTCTGCTTTGACTTATTTAGGGATAAAGTTTCATGATTCAGGCAGCTGGTCCCCTTATCGTAAAGACTTAAAACAAAAGGCCCTTAGCTCTGCTCCAGGGGTGCTGTGTTTTACCTGCTCAGATGGTGGGAGCAGAGTGGCCCCAGTGCTAAGAGTTTTTAATATTAAAATAATATTGCAGATGTTCTCTGAGTACGTCTACACCGTAAAAAAAAGGAAAACTGCAGCTGGCCCAGGCCAGCTGACTCAGGCTCGCGGGGTTTGGCTGAGATGGTTTCATTGCTGTGTAGACGCCTGGCCGCAGGCTGCAGCCCAAGCTTTGGGACCGTCCCACCTCACAGAGTCCTGGAGCCCAGGCTGCAGCCACAGCCCAGACATCTACACAGCAGCGAAACCACCCCACAGCCTGAAGCCTGAGGCCTGAGGCCCGCCACGGGGGTCTTGTCGCTGTGCAGACATTCCCTGTGAGGTCAAATTTGGATTAGGGGTCAAATTTCAGCCTAAGAGATCAGCTGTGCTGCTATAGCTCTTGAAGTGTAGACATACTCTAAGTATGGCAGCGCCTAGCTCTTAAAAACTCCCAGATCTGCTTCACTGGGTGAAAAACTAACCGTTATTAGGGGTACAATTGTTCTCCCTCATTGATTCTACTTGGGCCCCCAGTGAGCACTGACTCTGTTACAGAAGCCTTCGAAATTTCCTTCAGTTTCCCTGGCTACAGCTATAGCCCAGCCACTTCTCGTTCTCTTTATCAGTGATTACTCACCTAGTATACCACGACATTTGTTTGTAATAAGGGAGCTGATACACTCTGTTGATATGTTGTGAAACCAATGAAAGGTGAACACCTGTAAAGTGAAGCCCACTGAAATCTCATCAGTGCTATTTGGCCATTTCGCCTGATGATTCATTGGACTGGCATTTCTGAAGAGATCTCATAACATTGGTAGCCATCCTTCTTAGTAGCAGATGAAGAGTAGAGAATAACCAGGTAAAGGTACAGAGAAGAGAGCTGTTTTCTTTTACTGTGCCATTAATGTAATCAGTATTATTAGTGGGAAACTGAGCAACCTGAGTGAAATGAGTTTATGTTGCAGCATGATGAGCTATGATCTATACATATATATACGTACATATGTATATATATATATACACGTTTTCCCTTTAAAATTCACCAATCCCACCAGACCCCACTCGACGTATACCCCATCAATGATGATGCCTTGTTTACAATTACAGTTAGCCAGCTTTTAATCCATTCAGTGCACGCCATGTTAGTTTTATATCATTCAATTTTTTTTAAATCCAAATGTCATGTGGTACCAAGTTAAATATCTTACAGAACACTAAGTATATTGTATCAACAACATTATCTTCATGACCCAAACTTGTATTCTCATAAAAAATATATTTAGTTTGACAGGATCTCTTTTCCATAAACCCAAGCTGATTGGCATTAATTCTGTTCCCTGCCTTCAATTCTGTATTAATCCTGTCTGTATCAACTACTCCATTATCTTTCCTGCGGTTGATGTCAGACTGACAAGCCTATAATAACCCAGGGCTTCCAGTTCACCCTTTTTAAGTACTGGCACAACAATAGCTTTCTACCAGCCTTCTGCAACTTCCCCCGTGTTCAAGACTTATTGAAAACCAACTTTAATGGTCCAGCCAGCTTCTCAGCCAACTCCTTTAAAACACACAACTTTCTCCAAAATGCTCTCAGTACTCTTTCTAGTGAGACCACCTGGGTAATGAAACTTTCTCAAACTTCAGGGCTCTGTTGTAGAAACCTCCAGATAGACTTTAATTTTCTATATTGTTTCTAAAATGGACATTATGCTGCCACATCAAGTCCCAGCTTCATCTTGTCTATCTGCTCTGGACTTCTAGGTATAAAGCAAATAATAAAGAAGAAATTGATAAAAGATGAAGTTACTTCACAAGTGAGTGAGAGTTTGTGGTTAGATCTGCTAGCGACTGTTGCTGTCACTCAGTCTAACTCCACTGTGAGCCACAGATGCAGCCTCTGTTATTAGATGTGTTTTAAGGGCTTAGCCCTAAGTTCTGCAAAGGATTCTTGCTCATTCCTGGACATTTATGACACTATTAAAAATAATAGTAACTTGGGACCAAACTCTATGTGTGTGTATGTGTGTATTACTTGTGCACCTTTTTCATACAGTATTGATTAATATTCTTAGTGTATTTTTTTTTTAATTTTTCCTATTTTTATGCATCCATCCCATTACAGAGAGGTTTCAATCTGGAAAAAGATTCTCATGGGCAAACTAGGGAAATGTGGTCTAGATGAAATTACAATACGGTGGGGGCACAGGTGGTTGAAAGACCATACTCAAAGAATACATTTGCTGTCAAACTGGGAGGGCATATTAGTTGGGTCCTCAGGGGTGAGTCCTGGATGAGGTACTATTCAATAATTCCTTTAATGACCTGTATAATTGAGCGGAGAGTATGCTTATATAATTTGCAGATGACACCTAGCTGAAAGGGTTAGCAAGTTCTTTGGAGGATAGGATTTGAATATAAATGGACCTTGCTAAAACAAAGAATTGCTCTTAATAAAATATAATGGAATTCAATAAAGACTAGTGCAAAGTACTTCACTTAGGAAGGCAAAATTAAATGCACAATTGTAAAATGGGGAATAACTGGCTTGGTGGTTGTAGTACTGAGAAGGATCTAGGGGCTATAGTGGATTAAAAATTGAATATGAGTCAACAATGTGATGCAGTTGTAAAAAAGGTTAATATAACTCTGTGGTGTATTAACACAAGTATCGTACATAAGACATGGGAGGTAATTGTCCTGCTCTGCCAAGCACTAATGAGGCCACAGCTGGAGTGCTGTGTTCAATTCTGGGTGCCACACTTAAGGAAAGATGTGGCCAAATTGGAGAGAGTCCACAGGAGAGCAACAAACATGATCTAATGTTCAGAAAACCTGACCTGGGAGGAAAGGTGAAGATACCTGGGCATATTTAGTCTTTTGGAAAGAAGACTACGGGGGTGGGACCTAGTAATATGTAAAGGGCTGTGATAAAGAGGATGGTGATCAACTGTTTTCTAGGTCCACTGAAATCAGGACAAGAAGTAATGGGCTTAATTTCAGCAAGGGGGATTTAGGTTAGATATT